GTGTTAAATAACAAAAACTCAGCCAAGTACATTTTAAAGATCTCCTTGGCTTTATTAATTGCTTCATGAATCAGGCAGCACCATATCTAGCAATGAGACGGGAACTCCAAAGGGCTACAGAAAGGGAAAGATTGTTAAAGTTAGGGAGAGAGTGGCAAAAAGGAAATTATTAGCAAAGAATCCATTGTTTTAGAGAAGGTTGCCCTCCTAAGGGGAACAGATGAGGTCTATCAGTAAATTTCCTAGTGTTAATCAGGAAATTTCATGACTGGTTAAAGGTTACGTTCCTGGGGGTGGGGGTCCGGTAGAACTGCAGTCAGGTTAGGTATTAAGTCTTGGTTTAATGACTTGGGGGCTCATCCTAAGTGATGTGATTTTGGGCCTGTGGTTTTCTATTTAAACAGCGGCCACCCTTAGCAAGGGGAATTGCACTGAAATTGAATATCTATATGAAACTTAATATGAGAAATATTGAGCTGGTCAGTGTTCTTCCTTATGTGGTTTATCCACTACTGGCAGCCGGAATGTGGAGTTTGGAATATTCTTCCTTGGGGAGAGTAAAGACCTACAAAGACCATCAGGTACTCCATGAAACTAGAGCAACCCTTTAGTGAACTTATCCTAGTGAAGTCCTACCCACCTGCACATAGTGTCCAGGTCACATTTAAGATCTCACTTTTAGGGGTGCTAGATAAAATCGAGGACACCTAGTTAAATGGAATTCCAGGTAAATAATAATTCTTTAGTAAAGTATAGAATACTTACATGCCATAGGTATGTCCTAAATATTGCATAGGATACACTGATCCAAAACATTGTTTATCTAAAATTCAAATTTAACTATATATCCTGTTTCATTTTGTTTTGCTAAATCTGACACTCTTCAATAAGAATAGATAGCTGAAAGTCATCGGAATTTAAGAGAAGGATCTGACATAAATCAGAACAGGAAAAAAGAAACTTCAAAGAAACAGAGTATGTAGAGAGAGGAAAACTTCTAAAAATCTATTATCAATTTCCCTTGAGAAATAAAAAGAACTAGAATAAAAACAGAATAGAGGGGGCGCCTGGGTGGCTCAGTGGGTTAAAGCCTCTGCCTTCGGCTCAGGTCATGATCCCAGTGTCCTGGGATTGAGCCCCACATCGGGCTCTCTGCTCCACGGGGAGCCTGCTTCCTCCTCTCTCTCTCTGCCTGCCTCTCTCTGCCTACTTGTGATCTCTGTCAAATGAATAAATAAAATCTTAAAAAAAAAAAAAACACAGAATAGAGTCTCTAAAAAAATGAACACTCACAGCACCAAACTGAGTTCTTGTAAATTAAAAACATGATAGCAAGGGGGCACCTGGGTGGCTCCGTTGGCTAAGTGTCTGCCTTCGGCTCAGGTCATGATCCCCAGGGTTCTGGGATGGAGCCCTGCATCAGACTCCCTGCTCAGTTGAAAGCCTGCTTCTCCCTCTCCCACTCCCCCTGCTTGTGTTCTCTCTCTCTTACTCTCTCTGATAAGTAGTAAAATCTTAAAAAAATATATATAGCAAAAATGAAAAACTCAGTACAGTGGTAAGAGGACAATATTAAGGAACTATCCTAGGATTTATAGACAAAAGGCAAAAAGGAGAGAAAGATAAGAATATTTGAAAACCAGTCCAAGACATCTGGGAAATAGAGAAGAAATCAATTAAATAATCCAATTATATATTTTTAGAACTACAGGATATTGCTACCTGAAACCGGCTTTGCCTCTTGGTGAGTGTCGAGACAAAAGACACAACCAATCCATAATCTAGGAAAAGAAAGTGTTTTACTTGTAACATGTAAAAGAGAACATCGGGTGGATATTTCCCACCATAGTGTCTCCTGAACAGTGGGAGATGTTATAAGTTAAGCGCTCACACATATTCATGCAAGGGTTTGTGCAATGAGGAATTAGGCAGGGATTTGGGGTAAAGGTCATTTTAAGGGAATAGAGTCCAACATCTGAAGCTAATGATATACTATAAGTTGGCCAAGTGAATTTCAATTAAAAAAAAAAAGATAAGAGAGTCCAGGTCAAAGTCACAAGAGCTGGCAAGGGTCAGCGTCATCAATTCTCTGGCTCCAGTTGGTCTGGTATCTAAGCACTCGAAGAAGTTTAATATCCAGGGGTGCCTGGGTGGCTCAGTCATTAAGCAGCTGCCTTCAGCTCAGGTCACGATCCCAGAGTCCTGGGATCGAGTCCCACATCAGTGGGGAAGCTATGTCTCCCTCTTCCACTTTCCCTTCTTGTGTTCCCTCTCTCACTGTGTCTCTCTGTCAAATAAATAAATAAAATCTTAAAAAAAAAAAAAAAAAGGAAGTTTAAGATCCTGCAAAGAAGAACTACAACAGGCCAGTCTTCATTTTTGAATTAGCCCTGTGAGTTTTACCACTGATTTATTGTCCCTGATATGATTATGTTATCTACTGGCCTAAGAGTGACTGATCTTACTTTTTTTTTTTAAGATTTTAAAAATATTTTTATTTATTTGACAGAGATCACAAGTAGGCAGAGAGGCAGGCAGAAAGAGAGGAAGGGAAGCAGGCTCCCTGCTGAGCAGAGAGCCCAATGCAGGGCTCGATCCCAGGACCCTGGGACATGACCTGAGCTGAAGGCAGAGGCTTTAACCCACTTGAGACACCCAGGCACCCCTTGATCTTACATTCTTTCACAAGGTAGTGGGGGCCTGAAATGACATTTCTTATGTCAAGAAACCTATGTCTGTCTTTTTTCTGAACACCCCTAATTCTTTCTGCTTATTGTTGTGCCCGAATTGTCACGTCTGAGAGACCAAGGAGCCAAGCACCGATGCAATCACGAGGGTTTATTTGACAAGCTTAAGCTTGGGCCCAAGTATACCCGACCAACAGAGTAGGGACTTGGACCCCGAGCTTCATTAAGGCAGGGGTATTTATGGGTTCCTGTTACTAAAGCAGGGTAGGGGGGTCTCTGGAACCAAAGCAGGGTGGGGCTTCCTAAAGTAGGGTGGGGCTTCCTGGAACTAAAGTAGGGTGGGGCTCCTTAGAACTAAAGTATAGTAGGGGAAAGTTCAGCTCTTGGGCACAGGGGTCTGAGATGGCTGTACTTATGCTAAGGCTAAACCTGAGGTGGGATGGCCTTGATTTTTCTCGGCCTCCACACTTACAAGTTAAGTTTCCACACTGAAAGTGCACATTGAACCCAGCACAATGGACAAAAACAGAATCACATCAGGGTATATCATGATAACATTTCAGAAGACCAGGGAGACAGAGAAGATCTGACAAGCATCCAGAGGGAAAAATGAGGTTGCGTAACTGGAGGGGAGGGGTAGAATTTCTTCTACCTTTCAAGGTCCTTCAAGCTGGACTAAGAATCAAATCGACATGAGACAGATTAACACAAGAAAGTCAAATTTAATAGCATACATACAGGAAATCCACACAGATATGAGAATTCCAAAGATAGGGAGGCTATGAGTCTAAGGATACAAAGGGGAGAAAGACCATTAGCAGGAAGGTGAGAGGAGATATTTGGAAAACAAAAGTTGCCCTATTATGTAGATAAGTTTCTCAGGTAAAGAGGAAATCTGTTAATAGCTTTCTTCCTAGTACGGGCAGGCAGCTGGGGGAGAGGTAAAGAGCTTTTCTCCTATCAGCTGGGTTTTGATTGCTTTTAACTCCAAATAACGTTTGTGCCAAGCAGCCATCTTGGAGAAACCTGCCACTGACCCTTACAATACAAAGGATCAAGAACCAGAATGGCGGGGCACCTGGGTGGCTCAGGGGGCTAAAGCCTCTGCCTTCGGCTCCGGTCGTGATCCCGGAGTTCTGGGATTGAGTCCCACATTGGGCTCTCTGCTTGGTAGGGAGCCTGCTTCCTCCTCTCTCTGCCTCTCTGTCTACTTGTGATCTCTGTCTGTCAAATAAACAAATAAAATCTAAAAAAACAAAAAAAAAAGAACCAGAATGGCATCATATTTCTCCACAGCAACACATCAAACTGAGAAACTATGGAATAATGCCTTTACAATTCTGAGAGACAATTATTTCCAGCATAGATTCTCATAGCCACTCAAGCTATTGGTCAAGCATAGGGGTAAATAAAGTTATTTTTAGCCATGCAAGATTTCAAAAAGTTGATCTTCTGTCTATCTTTTCTTGGGAAGCTTTCAGATGGTATGTTCCATTGAAACAAGTAGGTAAACCAATATTTTTTTTTAAAGTTATTGAATAGTACAGTAGACAATCGAAACTGAATGGCAGGGTAGATTGTTCAGTGGACACTATCGTTATTGATCTCTAATTCTCTAACTGTAGAGTATAGCTAACATCTATATGAGCACTTACTATGTGCTGGTCACTATTTCAGGTACTTTAGATATACAGTTTTAGTCAATAAATCCTCACAACAGCTCTATCGGTTAGATACTCACAGAGAGTAGGTGTCAATAAGTGTTACTATTGATGGTATACAGTCATTTATTAATTCAACAAAATTGTGTCAAACTTCCTGTGACAGAGTGTCTTGGCCCAAGAAAAGTGACATGTTGTGTGGCTCTCAAGGCTGAGTCTTTATTTTTTTTTAAGGACTTTATTTATTTATTTGACAGACAGAGATCACAAGTAGACCGGGGGGCGGGGGGGAGAGAAGCAGGCTCTCCGCTGAGCAGAGAGCCCAATGCAGGACTCAATCCCAGGACCCTGGGATCATGACCCGAGCCAAAGGCAGGGGCTTAACCCACTGAGCCACCCAGGCACCCCTCTCAAGGCTGACACAGCTTCCGTCTAGTTCTCTTGCTCAGAAAAAATGCCTGTGGAGCCTCAAGTGGCTGTGTGAAGCAAGCAGATCTGCGCTGAGGACACCATGCTGCACAGAGCACATGGACAGAGCCCAGGAGGCTAAAGAGAGAGGCAGAGAAGCCCCTGCTATTCCCACCCTGGCAGTTTGAACTTCCCAAGTCCCAGGGCCTGCCGGACATGTGGATGGAAAAGGCTTTGAGAGGACTCCCTCATCTCTGTCTCATGGAAGCCAGCTGAGAGACCCTGCATGAGAACCACCTGGCTGAGCCCAGTCGCTCACCAGAATCAGGAGAGATGACAATAGTCAATGATTGCTGGGGTTATTTTATAGAGCAATAGATAACCAGAACTCTTCCAGAGAAGAGTGAGGGGTTAGCCCAGTCTTCTGACTCTCCTTTCCCAATGCTTCTTGAAGTGGACTAAGGCAAAAGGGAGAATTTTTACTCTGAATGGCAAGCGCCTCTTGGATATGGATATGGAGTCTGGCTGTTTGCCAGGAAGGAGGCAAGGACAAAGGCCAAATAACCTTTGGCCCCTTGGGACAGTGGCTTTGTAAAACACTGGGAAGAAATCTTGCAGGGGTGACATTCCTTGCCAGCTGGCTCACTCTGCATTCTTTTCAGGCTGCCAGAAGGTAACCATGCTTCAGCTTAAGATATGGAAGAGGATTATAACAGCATCCAAATAGACAGGCAGGGAGCCAAGAAGAATTAGCTCATACTGTTTGGGAACAAATGGAAAGCGTACATAAAACTTTAAACATTCAAGGATGAGTAAGCATAAAAAAGTATATAGAACTATGAAAAACTATGAAAAAAATCCTGGAACATAGGAACAAAAACATAACATCTAAAAGGCAAAAAAACTTAAAAAATATTTTTTGCAATATGAAGCAAAAATAATTTTTTTAAGGATTTTATGTATTTATTTGATAGAGGGGAAGAGGGAGAGAGAGAGAGAGAGTGCGTGAGTGCATGTGAGCGGGGAGGGGGAGGGTAGAGGTAGAGGTAGAGAATCCTAGGCAGATTCCCTGCTGAGCTTGGAGCCCGCCTCCCTGAGGGCTTGACTTACACATGACCCTGAGATCATGACCTGAGCTGAAATCAAGAGTTGGACATCCAACTGACTGAGCCACCCGGGTGCCTGGCAGAAATAAATTTTAAACAGTGTCTGCTATGACTTTGACAGATAAACTAAAAAACATATCAGTAATCCAAACAATATTTTAATGACATAGAATTAATAGTTATGAACTAAACTGGACTCCATATTCTACAGAGAAAGCACCTTCTTTTCTTTTCTTTTTTTTTTTTTTTTAAGGTTTTATTTATTTATTTGACAGACAGAGATCACAAGCAGGCAGAGAGGCAGGCAGAGAGAGAGGAGGAAGCAGGCTACCCGCAGAGCAGAGAGCCTAATGTGGGGCTTGATTCCAGGACTCTGAGATCATGACCCGAGCCGAAGGCAGAGAGGTTTTAATCCACTGAGCCACACAGGCGCCCCAAGCACCTTCTTTTCAATTGCCTACTGAATATTTACAAAAATTAACGGAATATTTATTTGCATGAAAATCCTCATTAAATTCCAAAATAAAAATAGGGTTTGAATCTCAGCTCTACCATTTATTAGCTGGAGACTAAAAGAAAGTCACTGATCGTTTCTATGACTCAGTTTTCTCATCCATTAGTGGGAATAACGATAGTACCTACCTCATAGGTGTAATAAGGATTAATTGACTTAATATATGTAAATTTTGAAGTTCTTGGTCCATTGTAAGCTCTATATTAGTACTGGCTATTTTTCTGATAACAGCTATATAAAGTTAAAATTCAATAATAAAACTTTAAAAAAAGATTTTATTTATGTATTTGAAAGAGAGCAAGTGAGAAACAGAGAATGAGTGGAGGGGGATGGGCACAGGGAGAGGGAGAATCAGATTCCCTGCTGAGCAGGGAGCCCACCATGGGGCTCAACCTGGGACCCTGGGATCATGACCTGAGCTGAAGACAGATGCTTAACTGACTGAGCCACCCAGGTACCCTTCAGTAATAAAACTTTTAACCAATCACTCCTTTCCTCAATCAATAGTATTTGCTACCATCTAATATGTGTGTGTGTGTATGAATGCCATATTTGGGGGCTCTAAAGGAAGCTAACTTTGACACCATCCTTCAAGATATTTCTCTGTTGTCTCCTAGAATCCACTGGTATCAAGGAAAAATCTGATGTTAAACTGATTCTTGTTCCTTTGTAGGTAATCTAGTTTTTCTCACTAGAAAAATTTGAGATGTTTTCCCCCCTTTTTATACATTTAGGAGTAGGAACTGTTTCTCTAGTTCTGGTTGGCATTCTTAGGTCTGTTCATTCCAACGACTTGACTCTTCTGAATCAGAGTGCTCTTCTTTTAGATTATCTCTCTCCCATTATCTCCATTCTTTTGGTCTGGAATTTTTGTTTGATGCTGTAGGAACTTTTGACCTTATCTTCCATGTCACTTAACTTCTCTTTTACTGGTTGTTTTTGTTTCTTTTTGGTTTTGTTTTTGCTTTAGTCCTTTACCTCTGAGTTTGAGAGACTCTTTAGGATTAATCTTACATGTTCATTCATTCCATTTTCAGTTATGTCCATTTTATTCAGCCCATCTACAACATTTTTAAAAATATAGCTTTTTTTTTAATCAAAGTTGCAAATGCACAGAGTTATATTTATTTTAATCAAAGTTGCAAATACATAGGATTTTGAGAGGTAAAGAGTTCTACAAGGCTTGTTGCAACAAGAATGGCAGTACCCCATCTCCTCTTCTCCGTCTTTCTGCCAGGCAACTAGTGCTGCTTTAGGCACAAACTCATTGGGGCATCATAGAATCCAGTGATTCCTGAAGTTATATAATAGGGCATCCCAATCACAAGTCACAGCAGTGTATTTGGCTTATTAAAAAAAAAAAATCTATGAAAGCTTTGTAAGAGGGACTTTCATGTAGAAAACCTGTGTTTTCTAATTTGAAAAGATACATGCACCCCATGTGCATTGCAGCACTATTTACAATGGCCAAGAGATGAAATCTATAGATTCAGTCAGTAGAGAGACAACAAGCCCCAATGGATTTAGGCAGCATTACTACCCACAGCATAGCAGGCAGCATGGGCTCCATCTTGCCTCCAAATCCCATGGGGCATCCAACTGGAGGTGCATACCAGGCATACTGTGGATCTGTGTCAGAGCTGAGGAACAGTGAACCTAGGAAACCCCTAATTTTATAAGGAGACTTCTAACAAACCTGCCTATCCCCCCAGAGAGAGATATTATCTTTTATTACACTAAACGTAAGCAAACAATCTCCAGGGAAGGAAGGCCAAGGTCTCTAGCTTTATTACCCTGGGATAGCTCCAGGGAGAGATATCTCTAACTCTCTATGGGGAACCTCTGGTTTATGCTGTCTCTTATGCAAAGATCCTTGAACAAGATGGTCTATGTCTTTTGCTCAGAAAACCCAAAACCCATGGAGAATTATCTCCCAACAATTATAACACCTTTTTTATAAAATTCTGAAAATGCCAAGCTTTATTCACACCCTAGGTGGAAAGAATAACTTTTAATGTGATAAAAATGTCACTGTAGATCATGATGTACATGACATATGAAAACCGCTGAACAATGTTTAAAAAATAATGACTATATTAAGTAACTTTTGTTTTTGAAATTCTTAACTCTATACTGAAGTTTCTTGGGAGTGGCATTACTGACATTTCAGCTGTATAATTTTTCACTGTGGGAGACTGACCTGGGCATTATAGGATATTTAACAGCATCCCTGGCTTTCACCCAAGATATGTCACCAGTGCTACCCCAAGTGTGACAAACAAAAATGTCTCCAGACACTGCCAAAGTTGTCCTGGAAGCAAAGTCACCTCCCACTGAGAACCACTGTTCTATGCTATTCTCTTGTCGTGTAGTTCCATAGTTTAAAAATTGTTAAACATCCAATATTTAGGAATAAATCAGTGAAAGCTATGCAAGACCACTATACTGAAAACAATAAAACATTATGAAGAGAAATAAAGATCTAATTAAATGGAGGGAAGTACTATGTTCATAATTTGAAGATTCAATATTGTAAATATGTAATGCTTCCAACATGATCTATATCTATAGATTCAACACCAAATCACCCTATCAGAGGTTTATGGGGTATATGTGGAAATGGACAAAGGGATTTTAAAATTTAAGCTAAAATGCAAAAGGCCAAAAATAGCCAAGTCTATCTTGAAAAAGGATCAAAGCCAGAAATATAAAGATATCAAGAATTGATAATATAGCTCTTAAGTTAGTATGGTAGTCACAAAAAGATAGACAAATGAACCAACATAACAAAAGAGGGCAGAAAGAGACCTTCATATAGTAACCTGATTTATAACAAAGGATGGATTTTCCATATATGGTGCTAGGTCAATTTGATATGATATAAGAAAATAATAAATCTTGACACTTACCTAAAAGAGAATCAATTGCAGATGGATTGTATATCCACACATGAAAGGAAAAACAATAAAGCTTTTAGAAAAAGATGTAAGTGAATAGTATACATTAAAAACATTGTAGAGCAAAAGAAACAGAGTATGTACTTACTGCATTACTAGATATTTACTAACTACGAAGGGAAAAATAGTAACTTTAAAGTGAGGACACCTGCCAGACACCAGCATAACCCAGAGATCAAAGTTAACATCACCACTGATAAGATATATTGACATCATGTTCCTCCTGCTCCATGCGCTGAGAATACATCGCTCCTTCAAAGAAGCATAAACCTGAATTTAATCCTGAATTGAACCTAAACATTAGACAAATGCAAACTGAGAGCATTTTACAAAATAACTGGTCAATACTCTCCTAAAGTGGTAAGGTCATTAAAGACAGAGACTAAAGAACAATTCCAGATTAACGGAGACCAAGACAACATGGCAACTAAAGGCCATGTGTAATTCTGGATTGAATCCTGGTCTGGAAAATGATGTTAGAGAGACAACTGATGACACTTTAATAAGGCCTGTCGATGAGTAATGTTAATTTCTTGATTTTGATAAGTGGACTATAGTCAAGCAAGAGATAGAAATAGAACGTTAGATGAAGGGAATATGGGGTTTTTTTGGTACTATTTTTGCAAAAGTCTGAAGTCGTTTCATAATGGAAAGCTAAAAAGAAAGACACTTAAAAATTTATGTTAACAATTTTACGGAAAATTGGCAAAAGATTTGAACGGGCACTTTGTAAAAGAAAATATCCAAGTAACCAATAGATAGCATGAAAAAAGTGCTCGACTTTAGTCATCAAGAAGAGCACATTAAAGCCCTGGGGAGATATCTCTGTGCACACCAGAATATGTAAAATGAAAAAGACTGGTTATATCAAGTGTTGTCAAAATGGAGGCACTACCATTCTCACGCCTTGTCGGTAGGAGTATAATTAGTACAACCATACTGGGAAACACTATGGCACCATCAGCTCAAGCTGAACAAATGTAGATCCCAGCAATATGTAAGTAATGTGCATTGAGAGACATTTTTAGAGAATTTTCATAGCAGGCTTCTTTGTAATAGCCAATAACTGGAAACAATTTACACGTCCATCAGTATGGAATATCGGAGAAATAAACAGTGGAATGGAAACACAAGGGAACACTGCACAGTAAGAGAAAGAACAAATTACAGCTCAACAATATGCATGTCTTTCTCAAATAAAGCACTGAGTGGTAGAAGCCAGGCATAAAACAGCACCTAATAAATACATGATTCTACTGGAAAGTTGAAAAGCTGATAAAATTAATCTATGCACTTATACAAATTTTATTTATTCATTTGAGAGAAAGAATGAGTGAGCAAGTGAGAAAGCACGAGTGGCAGAGAAAGAAGAAGCAGACTCTCCACTGAGCAGGGAGCCTGAAGTGGGGCTCAATCCTAGGGCCCCGGGATCGTGACCTGAACTGAAGGCAGACACGTAATGGACTGAGCCACCTGCGCGCCCCTCATCTATGATCTCAGAAGTCAAGGTATCGCTTACCTCTGGAGTGACTAGAAGGCCTTCTAGGGTTCTGGTAGTCAGTTACTTGATCTGGGTGCTGATTACACGGGTGTGTTTATTTTAATGCAAATTCATTGAGCTGTGCACTTTTCTGCATGTGCATTATGCTTCTATAAGAAGTCAACAATAAAGAAATCTTTTAGTGGAAGTCACTGCATTTCTCTAGCAGAGTAATAAAGGCAAGCCTCGTGCTGGCTGACAAATGAATTCGTCTCCTGGACTGAAGAATGCTTTGATTGGTTCTTCAGGAAAAAGTATTTTCAAAACAAAGTGATGGTCTCACTTAATCGTTTTCTCAGTGACAGTCTAACAATGGCAAAGGATAAGAACTTCATGAGAACCAAATCGTGAAGCAATGACTAAACATATTTTTGAGAACTTTGTGCATTTTCATATTTGGAAGAAAATCATGTTACTAAAATGCTGGGTAAAAGGGACTATACTTAAAATGTCATTTCATTTTTTTAAATGTCATTTCTTTCTTAAAAATAAATGGTTGCTTGATTTTACCAGGAAAACACAAAAGCACAAGGCTGTAATTATGAGTTGTATTTAGTCTCTGGGAGTGCGTGTTATCGTCCAGGTCACACAGACTCTCTGCTCAACCCACTGTTTGTACTCCTCCAGGTCTTGAGCCTTCTTCAGGTCATTGGCATTGACTTGAAGGCAGACAAGAGAACTTTCCACTGTGATGGAAAGGTTCTGTGTCCTAATTGGGGTGGTGGTTACACTGGTGTGTGCATTTATTACAACCCACTGAACTTTACACTAAAAAATTGCACCTTCAAGTGTAATATAAATTATGCCCCAACTAAAAAGAATAATGTTAAAAATTATTAATGGCTATTGGTTGCCTGGAGTTAGAATTTATTTAACAAGTACCCCATTATGTTTTTTTAAAGATTTTATTTATTTATATGAGAGAGAGAGAAAGCATGGGCGGGGGAGCGATAGAGGAAGAGGCAGAGAGGCAAGCAGACCCCCACTGAGCTCAGAGCCCAACTTGCTCACAGTGGGTAGATCGCAGATCCCAGGACCCTGAAATCATGACCTGAGCCAAAGTCAACACTTAACCAACTGTGCCACCCAGGCTCCCCCCGCCTCTGATTATGTTATTAATAAGGCCTTCTAGCATTTTCCAGAAGTACTAGTTCTCAGGGAGCTGAGCTCTCTGTAGCTTGAACAGTGTCTCCTGAATTTAAACATCTGACGGTTAAAACAATCAGATGAACAAGAGAAGAACTAGCTCTTAATGAGTGCTGTAAAACTGTTATTCAATTTAATGAAATTGCATGATGGGATGAGAACATATTTCCAAATCACATATCAAGAAAGCTAGAATTAAACTGAAGTTCTTTCTGCACAGGCAGCTGTGCATTCGGCTTCCTGCTACCCCAGTTTAAGTCCTCGGGAAAGTCGGCTTCCAGTATCTGGGGGAGCCTGCCATCTAGTGGCAGGACAGGCGGCATAGTCATAGAGCCAAAAGCAGCATGGGGTGAGCGAGCTTAGCTTCGCCTTTTTACAAAACTCTGAAGGTCTCCTCGCAGAAGAAAATTCTCCATCTGTGGACTGCCAGTGACGGGTTAGTCATCCACCAAAGGTCTTGAAAAGATCTTCGGAAAAGATGCTTAGAAGCTGAAGAGCATTGAGGGAGCTCTTTTGGAAGGACAGATGGGAGACTCTCAGGCATTGACTCTTCTTCTCTCCACCGGGCCTCATTAGTGATGACAGCCAAGGACAACAGGGCTGCAATTTGCCCATACTCACTGACACATCTATGCCAAATTAAAAAAAAAAAAAAGCTGCTTTCATATGGGTGGACAAAGCCCCAGAGTGTATGGCTTGGTAAGTGGAAAATAGGCTGTATTTCAGTCCTCCTCCCTACCTCTGCCAGGAGCTCTTGTGCAGTGGGCAACATGCACAACCACACACTGCAGCCCCGATGCAGCAACAGTACTTTCTCCTGGCACCTCAAATGCCCAAAGCAAACACCAGTACCTAAAAACTGGGGCAGGAGATAGGCACATCCCACCATCATATGTATCCTTAAGATACTTGGGACTTGAATTTCAGTTTTTTTTTCAAAAGTCACTGTCAATTTTAGCTTTCTATTCAGGCCTAGGTGTTGAAGGCCTCACTTCAGATGAAACACAGAAAAGATTAGGAGCCTCTGAGGAGAATAGCATCACATTGCTTTGTCATGAAAGATTATAGCACGGAATTGCATAGATCCAAAAGTGATGGATAAAGGGCTTAGGAAATGTAGCACTTTAAATGTGACACTTTTAGGAAAAGTTACACTTTAAAATCCATGGACAGGTCAAAGACACATTGTAGAATATGGCAGGGAGACATTTATTATTTAGCAAACTTCTATTAAACACCCTGGTTTGAGATACTGGGCTAGGAAGGGAATACAGTGGTGACCAGACAGTCTGTCTGCCCAGCAGACATAAACACACACACACACACACACACACACACACACACCGCAGCTGGGTTCCATGCCCTGGAACACCTCTATTCTCCTTTCCTGAGTTGGTGGTCATCTTTCTGTAGCCTTCTCCTACTTCACCTTGCAATTAGGACTTTCTTCATACTGCATCTCTTTTTAGCATTTATCACAGTAGAATTATTTCTATTTTATTTGCTTATGTTTATTATTTTATCAGCTTCCCCTCCCTCTGAACCAGGTTTTGGTTTCTTGACTTTATTGGTTGTTTTCTATTTCATTCATTCTTACTTTTATTTTTATTATTTCTTTTCTTACACTCTCTTGAAGTTTACCCTGTTGTTGTTCTGATGTCTTCAGTTGAACTGTGACTTATTTTTTCATTTATTCATTCATTCCTTGTTATTGTACTAAAATATATATAACACAAACTTGCCATTTTAACTACTTTAAGTGTGCAATTCAGTGACATTAAATATGCAAAGTTGTACCACCATCATTACTATTTCCAAAATTTTTTTACCACCCCAAGTGGAAACTCTGTGCCCATTAAGCAATAAGTCTTCAGTCCCACACTCACCTCCATTCCCTGGTAACTTCTCACCTCCTTTCTATCTCTATGCCTATTCTAGATGCTTCATACGAGTAAAAATCATACACTGTTTGTTCTTTTGTGTCTTACTTAGCATGTTTTCAAGGTTTACCTATGTATCAGAACTTCATTCTTTTTCACAACCGAATAAGATTCCTTTGTATGTACCGACAACATTTTGATCATCCATTCATCTATTGATGAATACTTGAGTTGTTTCTACCTTTTGCTTATTGTGCAGAATGCTGCTCTGAACATTGTCATAGAAGCACATATTTGAATCTTTGTTTTTAACTCTTTTGGGTATATACATATGATTACCTCTTTACATCACTGGTAGTTCTAATAGACTATAGATCTGATTGTATTATTTCCATTTTCCAGAGGAGGACAGCAAAGGTGAGCAGATCAGTGTCAAAGTCACTAAGCATTCAAATCCAGATCTTTTGCCTTCTAGCTCAACTCTGTTTTCATCCTATCTTATTATTTTGGACAAATCACTGGTGAAAATGATCCACTCTTACTGAAAATTGATTACAGGAATGTAATAAAGGTTTTCTGTAAAAGAGCACGGGAAGTTGAGGTATCTTAATTTGTCTTCATTCACTAGTAAAATAGTTCCTGTACTTGGAATTTGAACGATCCAGACTGACCATTGAACCTTGTAGATGTGATCGTGTTATTGCTCTGTCTAAAACCTTTCAAGGGCTTCATACTGCTCCAAGGTTTAAAAAAAAAAAAAAAATCCTTACCAAGTTTACCCACCCCAGAGAGTCTGGCTCTTAACTTCTCAGCTCCAGTCCTGATAGGCCCTAGACAGTTAAATGAGTGAACTTGTGGGGAGTGAAATGACACAGCATTGACTCTGAGCTGCAGTTGTGGAAAGTTGCGGAAAGACAGAGTGGCGGGCACTGCGGGGGCGTGGTTGCATGCCATCTAAAGTGGGCAGCCACGCCTTGGTTTGTTGCCCTGGGGGCATGCAGACCCAGTGTGTCCAGATCTTCAAACTTTTTTTTTAAGATTTTATTTATTTATTTGACAGATAGATACCAGAAGTGGACAGAGAGGCAGGCAGGGAGAGAGAGAGGGGTAAGCAGGCTCCTGCGAGCAGAGAGCCTGATGCGGGGCTCGATTCCAGGGCCCTGAGATCATGACCTGAGCCAAAGGCAGAGGCTTTAACCCACTGAGCCACCCAGGTGCCCCATCTTCAAACTTTTTAGAGAAGCAGAAATTTGGATATTTTGAGTGAATTTTACATATTTTAAAAATAGATTTCACTTTCTTAAAAGATTGATTTATTTATCCTAGAGAGAGTGCACCTGCAAGCAGGGGGGAGACGCAGAGGGAGAGACAGAATCTCAAGTAGACTCCCTGCTGAGCATGGAGCCTGAGGTAGGGCTCCATTGCCCAAACCTGAGAGCATGACCTGAGACGAAATTGAGTCTGACACTTAACAGACGTGGTGCCCAACAGACAACTTTTTAGAGCAGTTTTAGGTTCACAGCAAAATTGAGAGGAAAGCATAGAGATTTCTCATTTCCTTCCTGTCCTCACTCATGCACAGCCTCCCTACTATCACCATTCCTGAACCAGAGTGGTGAATTTGTCCCAGCTGATGAACCTGCACGGACACAGAAATATCACCCAGAGTCCATAGTTTACATTCGGGTCCTTCTGGGGGTTGTACATTCTAAGGCTTTGGAAAAATGGGTAATGACATATATCCACTATTGTTGCATCATGCAGAATAGTTTCAGTGCCTTAAAATCCTCTGCACAAGTGATTTAAATTCAAAAACCAGTTGGGCCAAACTGAGTGTGAATCTGAGAAAATGGGCCAGGCTGGCCACAGCCCACAGGGCACAGGGCCCTTAGCTCTCTCTTCCTGCATGTTTCTCCTGCCTTGGTCCATGGCCCTCTATTCTCCAGCCCTGCTGGACATCTTCTGGTAGCTCTACTGCCGTGGTTTTGGGCACTGGCTGCACAAGAGAATGACTGGGAAGCTGAAAGGAAAAAAAATGGTATCTCAGTCCCATTTCTTGATATTTATCTTTCAGGCTCCCTAGG